TTTTGGTTGCATTTTCTCTGCCCTTGTAGTTTCAGGGGACAGCAGTTGTCTCCTGCAGGATATGAGCAGAGCATTCATTTACTTCAGTGATGTCACACATGAGGGACCTGAACAAATCTGCAGAGCTTTAGGTTGTGCCTCAGTTGGCAAAAGCTGAGCTTTATAAATACAGTCTGAGCTACATAAATACTGCAGCAGCCTGGAGCTAAAGTTAATGATGGCAAAGACTATCAGAAATAGCATCGTGCCTTGTAGGAAATGTGAGTGCCACAGGAAAAGAGACTCCTGGGGCTTGTCAGAGTCAAGAATGAAGTGACCTGGCAGAGCCCTGTGGGTGTTCTTGGCCAAACTCTGCTCTGACCCCAAAGCCTGACACTCTGTAAAGGTGCACCCACACATTGTGATGGGGGGTGAAGCTTTTTAATCACCTTGCAGTCACCAAGCAAACCTGCCACCCCACCTTCCAAGCAGAGCAGAGTATCAGCCAGCGGTGGGGGAGTTTTGAGAAGTTAATCCTCACTAATAAGCTGTCAAATAAACAGAGCTGGCATGAGCACTGGTTCTCAGCCATCTGCTACTGCCCTGCTGTCCTGTGGTCAGGTTGTAGTGCTGAAGTGGTTAAGTTCATTAAGGTTTCAGAATTGGCACTGGGTGATTTCTAGGGGGAAACATTCAACTGGAATTTTTAAATGCTCAGAATCTTTCATCTCCTTTGCCACAGTCAGACCCTGCCTTGGGAATTTATTGCGGTTTCACTCTGCGTTGCCTCAAACCATTCAAATAGTTTCAAAGAAGCAAAACAGTTTTCTTTTGTTGTTGCTTCCCTTCCCCTCTCCTCCCTCCGTGCCCCCCTACCCCAATACGAGCGGCCGTAGTTTCCCATTCGGTTTGATCAAAGCTCTCTGCACCAATGTAACTTCCTGATCTTACTGGTAACAGAAGTAAATGTTTCCATGTTCCATGGAGATGGATTGCCAGCTATTGACAGAGTTCTGGCATATGGGAATGATTATTTCCTAATTCCCTTTACCTTTTGATGTGTTTTACAGAGCACAGCTGCAGCTGCAAAGGCTATAAGGGAGAGTGGCATGAACCTGAGCCCAGAGGTGGATGGGACGGTGATTCGGGTGCCAGTTCCCAAGTGAGTATCAATGCCTGAGCTCATCATCGAGCAGGATAACACAGAGCATTGCAGTGAGTGCCCTTCAGAGGGTAAACATGTATGATTGCTTGTTTGTTGCCCCATGCAGCTGCTTTGTAAAGAGCTGTAGTTTGGGTTTGGGAAAAAATCTGAGCTCTTAGAAGCATCTTTTGGAACCTCTTTGGAGTGTCTGAGCTCTAAGTCACCACATTCTGATGATTTGTCTTATTTTTCATCTTCTCTCTGCAAAGGAAGCTTGGTCCTAGCTGGCTGCAGCACTTTGAAAGATAGAGGCAAAGGCTTTTGTATTTTTGTATTGCTTTAATTCAGGGGCTGATATTTTCTGCCCTGCTCTAAATTCCTGCCATTACACCAGCACAGGACAGCAGTGTTGAGCCAGTAGTTTTAGGGGAGAGTAGCACCTTGCTGCAGAGAGCACTAAAAGGAACTGTGAGAGGAAGGAAATTCATAGCTTTGACAGAAAAATGTGCTCACTCTTTGGTGTAATACACAGTGTGTAACTGGTGGCTGTATGGAAAATCGGGCATAGGGCTGGAAAAGCAGGTTACCCCTGGGCAAGGGCTGAGCATCACTTCCCTCAGCCAACACAAGTATCTCCCAGACCCTGGACAAGGCAGGAGGTGCATCCATGTTCAGTTTGGATCAGGAGAAGCAATCCTGGCTCTGCCTGGGATTGGGGACCGGTCCATTCAGATGGAATCAGAGACCTCCCATCAGCTCCACCCGCTGACACACACACAACCTGTCACAGAGCTGCGTGGCACAAGGAAAATTCCTGAGCTCCTGTGGGTGCTCAGACCTTATGGAGCATCTGAATACCCCGGGCAGGTGTGGCTGGGCACGGTTTCACCATGGTAGAGACAAACAGCTCCCACACAGGGCATGCACAAATCCCTGGCACGTGCACTGCCTTGCACAGGCAGGTGACTCCTTGGTAGAGATGAACCAGGTAATTCTTGTGCTGTAAATCTCCTTTAAAAAATCTGTGGAATTTTACCCAGCATTTTGATCAGAGAAGTCTAATTGCAGCTTTCCGTTGCTGTCAGTGAGAGGGAATGACATTATCATTCTATTTGCTGATTTTCCTTCCCTGTGCTCCCTGCCCTTCCCCCATTCCTCAGGAGAGGAGGCAGAGGAGGAGGAGGGCACCATTATCTTCATAATTGCTGAGGCTCCCGGGTTGCTGCACAGTGGTTTGATTGTTAATGGGCACTTGGGTCATCCTTGAATATGAATTGCAGGGGAGGAAACTCCAAAACTGCGAATCCCAAGCTTTAACAAAATACTGTGTTTTTAAACAAATGTGTATGGTCTGTCACTATCTTTGGCAGTGCTGCAGAGTGAAAACAAGGCTTCTCCTCCCAGGGAAGCTCTGCCTCCTGTGCTCCTGTGTTCCTCTCCTGTGTCAGGCTTGCAGCCCTTGGTCCCTTCCTGGCTGCTTGGGAAGTCCTGAGTTAAGGATTTGGGCTTGGGAGCTGTGCCCTGTGGGTCTGGCACCCATTTGCTCTCTAGCTCCATGTCTGGGGTTGTGGGAGTTTCAGCCACTTACCAAAAAGAAAAACAGTTCCAGCCTTTTAAAACCCCACAATGAAAAAGGCAGGGTAGAAATTTTCATATCCCTCATTTACTTTTACAGATTTTTAAAAAGTTTTGTGTTATTTCCAGCAGTTCACGAAAGAATACAGAGAGATGCAGTGAAATTGCAGAATTATATCAAGTGTGCAAAATAAGCAACAAATCAGAAGAAATTAAGAGACAATATTAATATTGGTTCTGCAGACTTTGGTTCTTTCATGAAGGGAAGCCCAGTAAAAATAGAACCAAATCCAAATTGTCCTTACCTGTTATAACCACTCTTCACTGTGGCCACTGGACACACATGTGTCATATTTTGCCTTGTGCAGGTCCAGCTGTGCTCCAGAGTGTTTCAACAGAGCATTTAGAAATGGAGCTTGCTTTTCAGTATTTATTCTATCAGTTTAGTTTTTTGCAGTGCAGTTTTAACAGAAAAAATACACTCGTCTCATTGGTGTTTACTTCTGCTGCCTGCCAGGATCCCTCTGCTCCCCAAGGCATTCTCTTGTTTGTGTGGCTAGCACTGCATAGGCAATATTTATTTGTATAAAAAGTAGCCTCTGAGGGTTTAAAAATAAAAATTAAAAGAAAAAAAAAGAAAAAAACCATCCATGGGAACATTTGTATTGGTTGATCTCTTGGCCGAATTTGACCTGACCTTGTGACTTTTATGGTATTGCCTCATTTTTAGATTCATCTTTTTTGGACCTATTGTGTTACACTGGATATTGTTTGTAAATCAGTAATATTTTTACACATGCTTTACTGAAAGCCAGATGACTCATTTGAAAGTTTAATGACTCATTGTGAGCCTTTTTTTTTCCCCTCTACCCTTTAAGAAGTAAGCAAAGATACCTACTATGAGGAGAAAGGACCAAAAAACATCTCTTGAAAACACCCCAAAGCTGTTCTGAGCTGCTCCTGCTCATCATCAGGAGCCTCTCGCTGTGTTTTATTGAGCAATAAATGCTGCACCCTGTGTTTATCTGCAATTATGAATGCAGAGTGTTTAGTTTAGCCTGCTTTCCTCTAACTGATCCCTCTCCTTCAGAGGAAATTCCTGGTGTTGGAGGTACAGAAATCCCAGAGAAATGTCTTGAGCTGAGCCGGGTCCCCTCTGCCACACGCAGGGGTGGGACACTGAGGGCTGCAGTGCTCAAACCCTGGGGCTGGGGGAGGCAGAAAAAGGGATGTTCCTCAGAAAAAAAGATGTGAGCCCCCTGACTTGTCACTCACCAGGTTTGCCCTGGTCCAGGCAGGACAAGGCTGTCCCTGGGGGACTGGCAGGGACTGACCCTGCTGCTCTGTGGGAGCATTGTCCTCATTCCCCATCTGACCCCCTTTCCCCAAGTTCATTCACACTTTGTTTTGGCTTTAAGAGGGGGTAGGGACAATGGTTACTAGACAGAAAAGAAAACATACCTAAGAACAGCTTAAAAGTCCCAGATCTCGGGGCAGGATTAAAACAACTGTCCTTAGAAACCTCGGGCCTGGCTCGTGTTGATGGATTCCTTAACCAGAAACAGCATCTGCTTGGAAAAGTGTCTGTTTCTGGCATTATTGGTAGCATTGCTGAGAATTTACACACGGTCTGGCTGGAACATAAAACCCGCTGAGAAACTCCCCGGCACTGCGCGGTGATAAAAAGAAATTGGTGTTAATAAAGACAGACAAGGAGGCATGAAAGCTGTGACCCAGTGCCAAGAAGCAGAGGAAATCTGGCAGCGCTGCATAAACAAAAACATTTCCTTCAAGGCTCGGCAGCCCCAGGCAGGCGAGCGATACCCTCGGCACAGCTCGGAACGCCGAGCTCAGGTCTGCAGCTGAGCAGCTCCCTCCCACCCAGCAGGAGATGGCAGAGATTCCCAGCTCCCTCCTGAGCAGCCAGGATTGACTCCTCGCTTCCCCCCCAAAAGCTGCCTGAGAATGTGGCCTCAGGCAGAGAGGTCTGTGTGCCTGGGAGCTGCCTTTGGGGGTTCCAGATGTGCTGTGGGGCTGTGCCTGGGCAGGCTGGATGTGAGGAGCCCCAGAGGCACCAATGATCCCCATCGATGAGGGGAACCTCAAGGATCTCTGCTCCCTCCTGGACAGGCATTTGGGCCAGGCTCCTGCCACATGTGGTGAGTTAGGCAGGGAAAGGTTCTTCCCGCAGAGGGTGGTGGGGCACTGCCCAGGCTCCCCAGGGAATGGGCACAGCCCCAGGGCTGCCAGAGCTCCAGGAGCCTTTGGACAGTGCTCTCAGGTGCTGGGTGGGATTTTGAGGCTGTCCTGTGCAGGGCCAGGAGTTGGACTCTTCCAGCTCAGGGTACTCTGAGATTCCTTGTGACATTCCTGGCCAACTCCCTTGGCAGGGCGGGGACTGGGGTGCCCGGGCTGCTCTCTGGGTCTGCCAGCTTTCCTGGCAATCCTGAATTCCTGTAAGTCCTAACTGGTTCTGGGAAACCTCTTCCCTCTGGCTCTGTGAGATGGGGATGACTGCCAGAGACCTGGCTGTGGGCAGGGGCTGAGGGTGCCCCCGAGCCCCCAGAGCCCCCCGTAACCCACACCCAGGGGCTCTCACCCTACATTTCCTGAGCTCTCTGTGGAAAGAGTCCTGGCCCCAGGGTTTTGGTGACACAGGCTGCTGCAGCCAATTTCTAAATACTCCTGTGAAATGTTTATTTTGCAGTATCACCCCCACACATTCTCCTGCTAGTGAGTCTCAGGGAGAGCACTGGGGTTTCTCCTTCTCCAGGCAGCCTGGAAACTCCAAGAGCTATGAAAATAATTAAAATATTATTGTTAAGCACTAGCAGTTGACAGTGGTCAGCTGTAGGTGCTGCAGCATTATCTGAGCTGAGGGGACACATCAGCCATTCCTGAGCCTTTTTGATGGCCAGACCCCCTCATCAGCAGTTTTTAGTTTGGGATTGAAAGTTGAACATTTTTTTGTGACACTACAGCAGTAACTGGCCCCACATCACGGGGAAGGTTCACTGGAAGTTCTCCTGGGCTCAGTTACCTGTGGCTTACCATGTCCAGCAGCATCCTCTTGTCAACCCAGGTGTTCATATCATCCTGATGGGAAATCCTGGTCATGGTGAGCTGGAATAAGATTAAGTGAAAGAGAAGCTCCTTGGCTTCCAGGTACATCATTCAGGGAGGCAAATCCAAGTTTCAGGAGCAGACATTTCCTCCTGGCTTTGCAGTTTGGTGCTTTTTAGGATGACACTTTTCAGTTCCATCTTTCAAGTCTGGAGCTGGATTTTTCCTCTTTCCCACACATGCTTTGGCAGTAGGAAGTAAGGAAAGTCTGAGCATTTCAGGATGACTTTCAGGCACTGCAGAAACAACTGTAAGGCAAGATTCAGTCCAAGATCCCCAGCTTAGGGCTGGGCTGGAAATTTTCCATTCTAGGCTCAAGACTTGCTTCCCTGGGATGCTGTGCAGAGCTGGCAGATTTTCTCAGGTGGACCAAAGCAGAATAAAAACATGCCCTGAGCTGTTCAGTCCCTCTGCCCTCTGTCTCTCCACACAGAGCCAGCTCCATCTAAACCCAGCAGCTTTTGTGTGTCCCTGGGCAGAGCAGCACCAGTTGGAGAGGATCACTCATTTACCCAGAGTCCTTCACAGAAAATGAATCTGGCTGTGCTACACATGACACTGCTTTTCCTTTCAGTGTTTTTCCTCTCCTCTCTCTCCTAGGGTCACAAGAGAGCACAGGGAGAGCCTGGCCAAGCTGGCCAAGCAGTCCACCAACAAGTCCAAAGAGGCTCTGAGAAAGGTGAGAAGCAAAAGCATCACCCAGGTAAAGAAGTTCAAGAACAAAGTGTCAGAAGATACCATCTGGCTGCTAGAAAAGCAGGTAATTTTTCTTTCCTTCTGCCATATGATGGTGTCCCACAGCTGAGTGGTTTCTCCCAGCCCTTGCTGACAAATCCTCAGCACTGAGAACCTGGCAGGGCAATGGACAGCCCTGGGCTGAATTTTTGGAGCTGGCAATGGCATTTGTATCTGCTTTTTCTTTGTGAGATTTGGGGCTTCAATCTCAAAGCCAGATTGAGAATAGGAACCACTGTAAACTGACACAGGGAAAGAGAATTCCCCAAAAGCTTTCATACTATGAGGGATTGTTGCACAAACCAGCAGAATTTAGTGAGTGAAACAATCCACAAACATGGCTATACCACCACTCATGCTGTGCCTGGTCACTGCAGATATGTTAATGAGCATTGCTCCAGTTGCCATTAATGAAAGTCTTGCAAGATTATCTCTGTTCACAGTTTTTGGCTCCAGTTCAGGAAAATACTTAAGCACATGCCTAATTCCCTGAGAGCAGATGTCACTAAAGTCAATTACTTGGGCATAAACTCAGGCACAAGCCTAAGTGTTCTGCTGAATTGATGCCTCTGAAGGCAGGCCATTACTTCTTAGCTGTTTGTATATTAACAGCTAAAGTTAGATACATTGCAAATGCTCTGGGACAGTTCTCTGTGTGCTCACAAAAATAAACATCGATATACAGAGCGTTTGTGCAAGCAGGAAAAATGGCCATGCCATTGTAACCGAATCCTGGCGGGAAGCAGCTCTCCCAGAGCACACAGATGGTTTTCTGCATTGGTAGAGGTAACATCTCCAGTGGAATTTTTTTCTTGTACCCAAATTTTTCGTTAGGAGCAAAGGTCACTGTCAGACCTTGCAGATCTTAATCCTGTGAAACCAGTGCACAACACCCGGAGTGCTCCAGTCTGTACCTGCCTGAATGTTTTCATCCCTTTTGTACCCTGGCTGTGTCCATCTCTTCTTACCAAGAGAGCTGATCCCTGGGCAGGGCTTGAGCAATCACCATTTTATTTCTTTTTACAAGAGATAAACAGACTGTTACGTGCTGTGTGAATTCCTGGCACGTGCACAGGACCTGTGTGTTCCGACAGTGCTGCCAGAGGTAACAGCCTCTCTTCCCTGGTGCCAGCACCAGCAGGTCTCTGGCTCTGCCCTGAGTCTCTCTGTTAAACCTGACCTGACCTGTGCAGCCCAGCCAGGAGTTTTGTGGGCATCTCTTTTCAGAGCCTTTGGTCAGTCCCTGCTCTCACAGTCCGGGTGCCACACTGGCATGGATTCCCTGAGGGCTGGTGGCAGCCCCCAGGAAGAGCCAGTTACTGCCCCACTGCTCTTGGGGTTTTATGGGCACCATAACCTTTGTTCCAAAGGGTGATTTGATCACTCCTTTCCCTTTGAACTGTGGCATCATCTCACACAGAGCTCTGATTTCTACTGTCTTGCCACAGATCCAGCAAATGGCAGATGAGGCTGCCACTGAGATGGACAAGCTGCTGGCAGTGAAGACCAAGGAGCTGCTTGGATAAACACCATCCCAATGGCCACACTCCTCCCCCTGGAGCAGGAATGAGCTGCCACATTCCCCAGCACCCAGCCCTGCCCGGGGGCAGCAGCCTCAGGGATGGGCAGGGTCAGCTCTGTGCCTGGGCTGCTCCTGCTGCCTACTCTGGGGTGTGATGAAGGGAGGGGGGAGCTCTCCTTGCTGTCCTTTATCCAGGTGGGAACAGAATTGGATGAACTGAGATCAAAAATAAAATATCAGGAAGGAGAACTGGAAACTGCTGGAAGCACAGTGGAAGAACTGCCCTGCTCACTTTGTGCCCTGTCTTTGCACCGTCAGACCACCCACAAGAGGAACCTGCCTGTCCTGCTGCAAACCTCAGCATTTATTTTTGCTTGAAATAAAGCCAGAATGAGGTGTGGAGCAGCAACCTCACGACAGACAGGTCCTGGGTGTTCCCTCGGCTTCACGTGTTCCAAAGCAAGCATTTGCCCCGTGCCATGGCTGTCACTGCCAGCAGAGTGGGCAGGGACAAGGGAGCTCAGCACAGGGTGGGCAGGGGCTCTGTGAGGAGAGAACTGAAAGCAGTGCTGTCAGCACGGCTGCTTTAGCCAGGATGAGAAGACCTAAAACCAACACAGGAACTTCCCAAAAGCAGCATCTGCCTCCCCAGCCATTTACAAACACCTGGGAGCCTCTGGCACCACGGCTCAGGGTTGGAGGAGGTACAAACAGAGCAGGTCCTGAGCACATGACGGAGCTCAGCCCCTCACTGTGAGCAGGTACTTCCCAGGACAGAGACAGCCTCGGTGGCAGGAGCAGGAAGGTGCTGGCAGCCCCCCAGCCCTGCTCCCAAGGCATTTGGGTTCAAAGAGCACCAAGTGCTCTGCACTCCTTAAATAAACAACTCCCCAAAAGTTAGTTTGTGTGCCACAGGGAGGGGGAGGAGGATGAAGGATTTGCTCTGCTAGGGCCCCACATGTCAACAATTTCTCTGCTTTGTGTATTTTGGCCAAAGCCCTTACCATGATAAATGAATAAAGGAAGATGGCGAGTCCAGGGCGGTTCCACAGCTCGGGAAATTGCTTTCAGCCGATTACTGGATTTCTTCTGACATTTATCAACTGGGGGTTTTTTTTGGTTTTTTTTTTTTTTTTTGCCATTGTTGCAGCCTCAGCATCCCCACAGCAGCCTGGGCTGGAAGAGTTTCCCTGGTATCTGCCCAGGAGCAGCAGCTGCTGGGCTGGGAACTCCACAAAGCCAGGGCAGGTGGAGAACTGCTGCTGCTGCTATGGAGGCCTCTCCAGCCTTTTCCCATTCTCCAAGCCCTTGGGATGGAGGCAGTGGGCTGGTGGAGGCAGGCAGTGGAGCTAGAGGGGGTCATACACAGGGGAATTTCCCAAAAATTTACCACTACACGAGGAATAAAACCTGTGGTAAAACGACCCTGGGGCTGGGCTGGGGACAGAGCTGCTGGATGGTTGGGGAGCCCATTTACCTGCATCCCCCTGTCACCCCTGTGCCCTGGAGCAGCTCCAGGGCCCACAGAAACTGCTCTCAGCCCTGGTGCCACCAAAGCAGGGCAGATGGATGTGAGCCTGGGGAGCTGTGCCCCCACAGTCCATCCTGCCCTCTGTGGGACAAGCAGAAAAAAAATCAGATCCCCAGCAGCTCCCAGTCACACAGAAGCACCCAGGAAAAGAAAGGATGGGCACTCACCACCGGCTGGCTCACAGGGCGGCCCTGGAGAGGTCCCACTTTCCCTTTGCAGCACAAATCACCTGCTGCTCCACATCAGGAGCTGCAGCACAAGGTCTGCCTGCTCCAAACACTCCTCCACTGGCACCAGCAGGAGCCTCTCACTTGGTTCCAGCCTGGATTGCACCCAGAGCTGATAAGAAGCTGCAGCTGATGCTGTTGGCGGGTGGGAAGGGAGCTCCAGCTGTGCCAAATAACCCAGGAGGGGAAGGGAGCGGGCCAGAAAGTGGCTGGGCTGCTTTAATGTGGCTCAGTGTCAGTGATGCCACATCAGCCCCAAATGGCAGCCTTGGCAGGGCAGAGGGTGAGGGAGGGCCCTGGCCAGACCCTCTGCTGTGCCCTGGGCTGTCCACACCCCTCTGCCCTCGCAGGGACCCCTCTCCCAACAGCTCCTGCCAGCCTGGGGGCCTGGCAGGTTCCACCTGGTGGGCACTGCTGTGGCCTGGAGGTCCCCAAGGGGTCACACTCCCAACACGAGGAATGCACTGTGCACATCCCTGCTCAGGACAGAGCTGTGCCCTTCCCAGGCTGCCCAAAGCCACTCTTAGCCCCAGCAGGAGGTTCCAATGCTCCAAGCAGCTGGACAGCACCAGGGCAGGCACCAGGCTCCTGGAGCGAGCCCCGTGGCCGCAGGGACACGCCAAACAGAGGCAACGGGAAGGAAAAACTCCAAGGAAGCTGGAAGCTCTCGACATAGTTAAAAAACAACATTGCTCTTCAAAATAGATGTGATTGCGCTCCTTGTGAGTCATCGAGCAGAGACACCAAGATTGCTTTGTGCCAGGGACGAGCCGGGCGCTGATTGTGCCGCCCGGATTTGTATCCAACAGACCCTGGATGGCATGTCAGAGTTTACAGCGCGCATACATTTTCAACAGTGAGCTTTGCAAAATGTATCAATGTAATCTCTGCCTCCTATATTCCGTGTTGATTAGACACGATTTCTGGCTGGATTTTCAGAAAGCTCAAGTGCTTTTTTAATCACTACAGAAGCTCATTATTGCTTTCCAGTGACTCTTATGTCCTTCACTTCTCCTTTCAGATTAGAGTCTATAGTCAGATGAATATTGGATGATTTCATTACATACAAATGCAATCAACAGTTTTGCATAAATTTCTCCTCTTTTCTTGAGTTTCAATTGACCTCAGCACCCGTGGAGGCAGGCGCAATACACATGTAAATGAGCTGGCGTTGCTGCAAAGACACGGATTCGAGAAACAAGATAAACTGTCAGATAATATTCAGGATTTTTAAGAGATCAAAAAATACTTCCTCGTTCAGCCCAGCCGTAAAAATGGCACCTTCAGCTGCTGGGGAATTTGCTTTTGTTTTGCTCGTGTCTAGCTGTGGACAAAGAGCAGGAGTGGCAGCAGTGGCCAGGCGAGGGGCTGAGCGGAGCCGGGCTGGCCGGCAGCGCTGCCGTGGGGTGGCCGTGGGGTGCAGGGGGTGCTGGCACAAGTCCCTGCCACAGGGAAGCTGCTGATGGAGTCTTGTGCCCCCAGCACACTGGGGAGGTGCCCAGTGCCTGCTGCAGAGCCAGGTTTGGTGGTACCGGTGCCATCCCCATTCCTGCCCCGGCGGGACCAGCCCAGGGATGCTGAGTTTGGAGCCCTCCCAGCACAGGGTGCAGGGCTGGGCCAGGGGCTGCCCTCCTCACCCTGTGCTACCACACACAGGGGAACCTCCCGGTCCAAATATATTTAAGCTACCACTCCACACGAACAATCAGGGCTAATTTTAAAAACCTGTAATTAAAAATAAAGGACCTCTTGGTAGAGAAGTCGGGGTAAACTGTCAGCGGTTACTTTAGATGTGAAGCCCTTACCTTTAAAAGAATCATTTTTGTGCTAATGTGAGCAATCCAGCACTCCCACACTCGCCTTCGGGGGCCTGTGGGGAAAGAAACTCGTGGGTTTCTTTTGATACCTTTACTGCTAATCTTCTTAACAGATTTTTAATTAATGGGAACAGAGCACTTTGCAGCCGTGAAATCTATTGGTGTAATTGCCTGGTGGATTAGTCCCATTAACCACACAAATTACCTGTCTCCAGGCCGCCAGCACCACCGGGGAGCTCCCTGCGCTGGACACACTGAGCAGCCCCATTCTGAAGCAATTTTGATAAAATAAACTCTCTAATCAGGTAAATAATTCCATAAGGGAAATTGCTGCCTTCCCGCAGCCCCCCTCCAGCGGGACCTGGCTACTTTCAGGGGAATGCAACACGCCTCCAATTACAGACAAATCTCCAGCTCAGAGACCATTTGAGAGAAGCCCACGGCACACGGGACCCCCTCGAACCACAGCGGCTGAGGAATTAAGGCATTTAAGCTGTCAGCTGGAATCTGGCCCGGCCCCTGATTACCTGGGGGGACGTGCAGCGTATTTAGGTTCGTGTCCATTGTAATTTCCTGACCCCCAGCGTTGATCCCGAATGACTTGTGTCCATGTCAGGTTCCTGCCCGCAGTCCCTCCGACACGTGGCCCCGGGCTCGGGGACAGCGACCTTTGGGCAATTAAGGACATCCAGGCCAGCCCGAGCCTGGAGAAGCGGAACGTGTGCCTGTCCCCAGGAGCCACGGGGTGAGCAGAGCCACCTGTGCCCGTTTCACCGCTGTGCTGGCTGCCATCACCCCCCAGGATGGACACTCGGACCCTTCCCAGCCCTGCCCATGGGTTTCCATGTTCCATTGTGGTTTTGGACCTGAATCTCCCAGAGGCTCCTGCAGTTGTCCTGCTCAGGGCCTGGGGTGGGGATGAGCTGCCCCAGGGGTACCAGGGGCATGGTGGGGAGCAGGGCACCACGGGCCTGGCACAGCCCCACACGTTTCTCAGTGCTGGCTGTGTGCCCAGAGCTCGGGGCTCTGCCAGCCCCTCAGCCAGGACAGCTCCAAAGCTGCTGCACCGGCTGGGACATCCCCCCACCCTCTGCCCAGTGCCAGGGAGCAGCGTCCCTGCTGTGGGACACATGTGTGGGGCCAGCCCCGCAGGGAGTGGCAGCAGGGACACGCTGGTGCCACCGCTGGTGGGAATGGCCGTATGGCCACATGAGGTGGCCTTCAACCATCCCCTGAAGTGCTCGGCTGATCCCAGGGCCGGTCCCTGATCCGGGATGGAGGAGCCCGGAGCGCGGGGGCACAGGGCTGCTCTTCCCCTGCTGCAGAAGGCTGAAACTCTCCCCTTGGCTGCCCCCATCGCTCCTGGCACTGGGAGCAGAGGCTGATCCGTGGGGCCACCCCCAGCAGGAGGGGACGTGAGCGGGCTGCGGCCGGGGCAGAGCCGGGCGGGAGGCTCGGAGCGCAGGAGCCTCCTCGCTGCCGGGGCTGCCCGGGGAACCCTACACCGATGGTAATTGGCATCAGATGCTCCCTGACCTGCCGCATCCACCGGGAAGCTGGAAGCATTTATTTGTCTGAGCCGGCGGCTCTATCTGCGTGCGGGAGGCGTTGGCGGTGGCGGGGCTGGGCTGAGCTGAAGATGATGAATATGATTGCTGAAAGCGCTTTCCTGAGTCCTCCTTTCCTGGGGCTCAGGTTACGAGTTCCCAGACAGCCTGTCCAGCTCCGGCTTTTCAATTCTGATTTGTAGCCCCCCAAACTGTCTGTCAGCTCCCCATGCCGGAGGAAATGCTGGGTTCTCCGCTGCCGTGCCCGGCGGAGCTGGGGAAGGGGCCGCCAGCCCTGTTCGGCCATCGGGGAGGGTTTGGACTCCCGGGCTGCCCCCGCTGCTGCCCTGTGCCCCCACACTCCCCTGAGCCCAGCCAGAGGGGACCGGCAATGTCCCGTGAGGGGTCTCCAGCCACCAGCGCCTGCTGTGCCCTTGTTTCTGTGGCTACTGGGGGCCTTCCCCACGGGGACTTGCCACCGGTCACCTCTTAACCTCACAGCAGAAAAAAGAGGGTGTCAGTTTGTGTGTTCTCGGTCCATCCCCTACAGCCCACGGTCGGTGTTCCCCCCCGAACCACATCCCACAGAGAAGCTGCTCAGGGACCAAGGATTGGGTCAGCCCGGGGATGCTCCTCGGCCATGCAGATCCCCTGGGATCAGAGCGACGCTGTCCTGACAGGTCCGAAACGGGGAGCTGTGGGGTGCCCCTGCCCGGCTGCCCCACAGCTCCGCTCCCTGTGTGAGGCTCAGAGCGGGTGATCTCCCTGAGCTGCTCCTTTGCCGCTTGTGTCACGGCTGTGGGGCCGCAGCACCAGGTGTCCCCACGGCACGGGCGTTCCCACGGCTCCAGCATCCTCGGGATCCTCGGGAGGACGAGGGGAGGGATTTTGGGCGCTGACCCGCCACAGCTTCTCGTGTCCCGCTCTCCTGTTCCAGCTCCGTTTCGGACTCCGGGGGCGGCACCACCCCAAACACGGGGGATGAGGGGCTCGGGGGACCGAAGGGGAGATGCGAGGCGGCCCAGGGCAGAGCAGCATAGGAGCAGCGATGTTTCGTGCATCCCAGCGCCTCCCAGCGCCTCCCGCCGGCCCCGCCGCGCTGCCATCGGCGGTGTTCTGCTGCCTCCCTACGGAGAAAGCTCCGGCAGCAGCACCGGCCCCGCCGCGGGATGCTCGCAGTGCCGTAACCGGGGCCGTGACCTCTCACCGGTGCCTCAG